GGCGGGAGCCCCGGGCCCGGGCGGCTGATGCCGTGCGGCCGGCCCCGCGGGGGCAGCACTCCCCGCCTTCAAACCCGCTTGAAAACCGCGAACCGTTTCACTCCAACCCGCGCGGTGGTTGGGCGGCAGCGGAGTTGAACAGACCTACACGCGCACACGCACCCCCTCCCGGCAAGCGAGGTGACGCTGGGCGAGGCGGTGCAGCCTCCTGCGCCCTGCTGGCCTCGTAACGTGGAGACGGGTAGCGCTCACGCACCCCCAAAGATGCTTGAAACTCTTTACAGGCAAAAATACAAGTTAGCAGCCCGCGAGTCTGTGCGAAATAGAAGAATCAATTACCGGGTACGGGAGAAAAGGAACTGGTAAACTTGAAGATTAGCGGGGTTAATGCGGCGAAAACGTGTAGATGGTGGAAGTGCTACAGGTGAGAAGTACTGGGGTGATGAGAAAGCCGAGGAGCAGCAAAAAGAGGCGGTAGAGTTACCTTCCGTGGCTCCGCCGGAGGCTGGGCTTGACGGTCTGCGTTGACGGAGGCATCGCTCGGCGTGACGCTGTGATGCGTTAACGGCAGGTGGCATGCGTTATCTGCACCGGCAGCAGAGCAGCCTCTTACTCGCACGCAGCTCGCTTGCTTCAGCTAGTCACGTTCGAGAGCCCACAGCCAAAGCTCTCCTCCGCGATGAACGGCTTTGCCTTTTTTTTTTGTTGTTGTGTTTTTTAGTTTTCAATCTCTTAAAGCCAAAGCCTAAAACCCCAAAGTTCCTCCAGCATGGCTTATTAAGGCATTTGATTGACGCCGTTCAGCTCGGTTCCACCCTGTTTTCTAACAGCTTTCTCTGCAACGCTGCGGATTTAATGAGACCGCCTCACGAGAGGAGTCAGCTTATGCCTGAAAACCGGGCGGCCGGAGACGTAAAGGCTGCTAATTGTGCCTGAGGATACTATTGCAGAACGGTAGCCCCAAATTCCAGCTGCAAAACTGTGTCGAAAATGTGTCATTCTCAAATTTTAATTTCTTAACTGGAGTTTTCAAGACTACTCGTGGTGCCATTTTTGCAGACTTCTGAAGACTTGAAGTACTTATTGGCACAAGCTTCCCAAACACAGGTCTTAAAAGATGTTCTTTGTTTCCCCGGTCAGTCACTTCTGTTGTTTCAGGGTACAACCAGGAGTCACAGGTTTTGCACGCCTGTAGGATGGATTCGAACAGTCTCTTCTGTTCGTTAAATGTCAGTGTTGTCTTGATATTCTAGGGTAGTTTAGGAAGAGTTTTGGTAAGGATGGCCACTTTTACGGACTAAACATAAACCCTCTGTTTTTACTCCATATCTGGCGGTACTTTTGGCAAGAATAGTTGTGTTGACCACACCAACTTTGTTAACTTTCAATTTGCATATGAACATTGTGTCCTTCTGAACCGTCCGTGTAATGTCCCCTAGACATCACTTCTCACTTTGTCATTTTTTTTGCATTACTATATTGCAGTGCCCCTAGAAAGGCTTATAAAAAAATTTGGAGGCTCATACTCGTAGCGGTAAGGAAGGTGGAGGATAGGATCAGAGGGAACAGGAAGGAAGAATGTAGCTGCAGTCTCACCCGAAAACGGAAGTTTGGTTGAGTTAGAGAAGCTCTGCAATGCTTCTAGCTCTTTGCCTTTCACCCTTCGCTACCGCCAGTCAGTCGGCAAGGTATTCTGACACGCTGATATTTAGGGCTCAGTAACCCTGAAGGTCAAAGATCTTGTGTTTTAAAAGAACCGGGTGATATTCTGCTCCCTAAACCCCAGTAACTATGTGGGAAATCCAGCTTGGAATGCCATTTGACACCGCGCTGTAATAACGTTGGAATGTATTCCTAAATAATTTGCTGAGTATCTTAGAATATTTTGTCAGCTGTAGATAGGAGTCACAAAGACTTGCCAAATATTTTCCCGAGCTTGAGACTCAAGGTCAGACCCACCCTGTAGATTCACAATACCTACTGTTCTTGTTTCGCATTAACTTAAAAAGTAATATGAAAGGAAATATTTGTGAAGAAAGGCCCTTGAAAGCTTTTCCATTTTTCAGTCCGAACCAATTCATCTGATAAATGTTATTACCTTTTCCTGTAAGTCTCGCTCCTTCTATATCCTTAGACTACAATAACTATTATTTAAAAACCCCAACAGTACTCACAACAATAATAGATTATGTAAGCTCTGGATTCCCTTGGAAGGGGTTAGGAAAGTCATTAAGGACAAAGAATATCAATACTTTTCAATCCAATATAGTCCAAAAGTAGCCACATAAAATATAATCAAAAGGGGGGTTGGTATAGTTTTCCAAAGCTACAACAAGAGTCATCAGTGTATTATTTTTCATTATATTTCCTTGTTATTTTTCAAACTGTATATGAGAGAGACACACAAACACCGTTACAAGAAAATTGGCATAAAGTTCAGTAGCAAAAGTCACAGAGAGAAGAGGATGATGAAGTGTTTTGAAACCTGTAAGCTTTGAAATAGGAAGGAGTTTCTTTCAAGAAGCAACAAAGCAAATACTGTTGCTACAGTTGAGAAACTCTGAGAGGTAGAACACGTATTTTAAATGAAATAACTGCAGAAGCTTACCACGTGATTCAACCTAAGATTTATCTCTGATATTATAGTAAATTAATATGTTTATCCAAGTGTACTAAACAATACATTAATTCAGCTGCTTATTTTGGGCTTTCTCGCAGACTTTGGAAATACTACTCGAAGTGATGTAATCAGGCTAAGAAATGCAGCTGGCTGGTTTTGGCTGTAAGGGGCAATGAGTCTGATTATTCAGCTGTGTTTTTATGCACTGAGATGCAATGCTGCTTTCCTTTTGACGTCTTGCTGTTTAATAAGTTATGATAAAGTAAATCCTAGTTTACGTTATGCCAGAACCTGCTGGTTTGAAAGAAAACAAATAAAACTCATAATGAAAGTTCATTGAGCTTGCTGAAAAGTATCTTTAAGACACCAACTAACTCGTGTCTTAATTTTTTTCATAGCAGGAAGCCAATTTGCCCTTGTTGATTGAGATAAAATTCCTTCTACGTGCACAATGGAACTGCTAGTTACTCCCTGGCAGGTGATTACTTTTTTCTGCCTCAGAGCTGACTGGATCTTGCTGGTTTGTCATCTTTGTAAACAGAATAGTTTATAAAATGCTTTGAAGAAGAAAGATACTATCAGAAATTCAAAGTATGTCTTCAAAAGCCGATGTCCCTTCACTTAGAGTTTACCTATGACTGAATATAGAGACTAATTTTCAGAGACAACCTTTTAATTTTTACTTCCAGCACTGTATGTGTTTAAGCCCTGCAGAGTGACATGGTCTGTAAAATAATTCTGTATGTATCTGCAGGTGTACACTAGAGCTTGTTTTTAAAGTTGCCAAGCGATAAGCACCTCTTCAGCGACAGATACCAACAAGGTCTCCCCACAGTCAACTGCATGCAAGTTCTGCATTACCTTGCGCCTACCTCTCTCACGCTGTCTGAATCGCAGTCAGTATTCTTCAGTGTGTACAACCTGCTGCTGCTGTCCTATGCTGCTTCCACGTCCTATGAGACGTGGAAGAGATGGTAAGCTACAGCTTCTTGGGAAATTATTTCGAGGTCTCTTTTGAATAGCAGTATAAGCTTTAATAGTAAAAGGCTTTAATAACAGATTTGACTCTACACTGAATACAGGACAAAATGCCAGAATATGATTCTACAGTATGCTCCTTTTTAGGATTAAACACAACCGGTTCAATCCATTTACCGTTTACCAAAAACTATTTACCATAATTTCCCCCCACAATAAATTAGTCCAATAATTAACAATTATTAAATTAATAGTTATTGGATTAATAATGAATAATAAATTAAGTCCTAGAATTAAAATCCGTTTTCTAGAGTCCAGTAACATTAGCATCAGTGAGAGTGTAATCATTTCAGTACAGTCATATGTGGAAAAAATATATATTAAGAAGGGTAAATGATGGG